CATCGACTTAACTCACTTTTATTTTATTTTTTGACATATGTTTGAATTACTAGAAAAAAAGTGAGGCGTTCTCGTAGAAAAAACGCATGGATTATAGTACACCCTAGCGCGCTTCTTTCCTTCAGCCCCATGTCTCCCTGGACCATAGTAATGGCGTACAGAGCTCATGATGACGTAGAAACAACAATTTAAAAGTAATAGGTTTCATGCACTTTTGGGTAAAGATTCAAACCGTTCATCGTTATTTGTTGTTTCGACCATCAAAAGTAACAGGATATTCCTTAGGAACACAGACAGGACCAGTCGGGGTACCAAAACGTTGGAATGAAGGACTGTAGTTCTTGTCAGTGGGTGTTATCAAGATGGCATTACTCGAACCCATCGATGGATCCTCATCAAAGTAGTTAAAAGGACGAAGATAAAACCCTGCTGTACTTCCAACCGTGGCTGTGTTGGGAATATCCTCAGAATGAGGGATGTGCATCATTCCAGTGGTTACCCAAGCAACAAGATCTTCATTGACAATAGATTCGTTGTCTRCTAGAAATGTTCTGAAATCGACGTGAGGATCGCTCGGAGAGTTTTGGTTGTACTGCGAAGAGCTTTGTCTTTCGCTGTCTTTGTACCTTTTTAAAAAAAGGAATTTAGCTAAAGCGTAGTAAACTTCCATCAGTGTCTCTCCGCACTCCCTCCCCACAATACCATGCACTTAGTATCATCAATTGCAAAAATCGTACCTTGTAACAGCCAACTGATACAGAGACCAACTTATCATCGGTACCATTATCCAGTCTTCTGGATACAACTGCTTCATGATACCATTCAGCTGGATTCTGTATCCTTTTGACACACCCATTTTGTTTTTCTTTTTTTCATTGTAGAAGTTCAAATACTTTGGACGGTCAAAGTTGAATTTGTATGCTGCCTCTTGCTCGGTCTTTTTGGTGGTACGTTTCAAGACTTTCCTGACAAAGTATCTGTKTTTCTCCGGTAGCCATTTGTCAGTTACGTTTTCTGTTGTGACTTCGATAGTCTCGTAGGAATTTTGTCTTCCACCAACATCTAAGTCAACTTTGTAGTTGAGTAAGTGATCGTGTGTAGTGCTTGTTAAGTTATTGTGGATGGGATAACCGTATGATTTTACATTCTCATCGTAGTAAGTACCAAAKGGGTAACCAGATGCTGATACTTTYACTTCTACCGCGCCGTTCTGGTAGAAGATGAAGTCGTGTATGTAGTCATAATTGCTGACTGCAGCAATAGTTCGCAAGACAAGAGCCTAATGAATGGAAATAAAACTTCGTTAACCGGAATAAAATAAGAGAAGGGCTGTTGCCAGAGTTTCGATTTTTTCACACTTCCATACTTGTATTTGTTGGCTCAAATCGCCGTTATCGAGCACGGTGGGCTTTGCGCCAAAAAAAAAAAAAAAAAAAAAAAAAAAAAAAAAAAAAAAAAAAAAAAAAAAAAAAAAACAAGTAGCGTGAAGAGTGAAAAAGATCGAACCTTTGGAATCAGGGTATTTCAAAATAAGATGTAAACCAAAATATAAGTTTCAATTAAGTTTAGCAAGTTGCCTTTTTTGCCAAGTCAATAATAAAAGTCCAATTAATTAGTCTCAATAGAATAGGGCTTACTTTAACAATGGGATGTGGGCCAGGTTTTTATCAATAACCCATCGACATTTATAGAACCATACCTGGTTKRYCATTCCACCATAGAAAGTATATCCTCCTTGAWAGTCGTTATCGTAATGTCGTCTTAGTGGTGATCCAGTGTTCMATTCAAATASACAGACAGCATTTTTGATGACATTTGGACTATCGCTGTACACCATGTGGACCAAATCAAATAAAGTTGCCGTTCCTGGACAATCCGTACCTAGAATAAAGAAGTCAAAAACTTTGAAAAACTGATTTAAATAGCGAGCATCGTCTTAATATGGCTAGGGCTGAGATCATCSTGTTATTCAACTGATTRAATTAAAATGCGGTCCGGTCCGATTGTCTGGGACGCACCTGCAACATAGGTAGTGAACAAAATGCATCCTAGAAAACATTCATTGTTAATTGTAAGTTTGGCCACGTTTTTGCTTATAGTTGTTTTTCTGTCTTGCTTTTTTCCTTTTTCTTCTCATCAAATAAAATAGGCRTCACAATCAACTTCCAGCACCCCTCCCCCCCCGACTTGTGAGGTCCTCGCAATCGCCCAGTAACTAATTATAAAGCTGGGTGAGTATCCTGAGCTTCCTACCTTGTAAAAGATCAAACGATGAAGCTCCCATTGTGTAACTGCCGTCAACATAGTTATTACTCATCTGTGT